GTGAACATTCTTTATTATATTGTAGTTAGATAAGTAATGTACACAATTCATCAGTTAAAGGAAGAACTACTGTCAACACTGTATTCCAGTTTTGTTTTGTTTTTTGTGTCACGACCAGCAGTTCCAGGGTTAGAAACACCGTCCAGGTCGTTATCACATGTACTTGACATTAAGAGCTCTTGCTTACAATGTATTCTATAATCACCTGAACAATTTGGGTATCCCTGTGCATTTTCAATGTTTGTTTCTTAACTGATTTTTTTTTTTTTTATAAAACCAATAGCTTATACGATTATTGATGTGAAAGTTATTTAATGAATCATTAAACAAACTTAATTCAGTGCCTTATAATGATTAGAATCAATGTGAAACACTTGTTTTTATCCATTCGTAACGAAAAATCATGAAATTCCAGAGGAATAAGTTGTTCTATTACTTAAAGTCAAGCCGGTCTCTGTTTTCTCTAAAATTTACTGAAATTAATGTTTCGAGAAAAACGCAGGAAAAATAGTGAAACGAAAGTTTTGTTTTTCGTTAGGTTTTAAATATGGTCATATTCTTACACGTGTTGATTGTGTTGTAGCACGCGAGTTATCCAAGACACCCTGATATTTTTTTTGCAAACTATCTTTGTTAATATCTGTTATGAATATTGCTACGCTGATTGTGTACTTCATTCGTGCCTCTCTAAACCAAGTTTTCTCTTGTGTTTTAAAGCTCGACACATTTAAAAAGAATAAAATAAAGCTTTTGTATCACCAGAATAGTGTCACTTGCTACTGTAAATTTCTGGAATATATTTTTTACACTACAGACTGACATTTTAAAGTGTCTTATGCGCAAAACACTTATGAAACTAGGTGGCAACACAAAATAGATCAAAATATGTTTTTAGGGTTATAATAGCTCAGAATGATCGATGGATCATCGACAATTTCACGGGTTTACAACGCTTAAATCCGGGGTTCGAGCCCTCTTAGTAGTTAAGAGTGCATATAGATAATTATGCAATTTTGGACTGAAAAATTAACTTGCCGTTAAGCCACCAGGGAACAATTCCAGTTGAAAAGTTTCAAGGAAAACTTAAGACGCCCTAGGAAAGCATCTGATGTGATTTACAAGTGTTAATTCTCTGAGGATAGCAGACAGTACCCTTGCTAGGAAATAATTTCCTTAAGCCCCTGTTTTGTGTTTCTCTTTCATTCTGTTTGTTTCAATACCAAAACCTTGATCTTTTTGAATATTTTACTGTCGTTACAGTGTAAGCAAGGTTTTTCATGAATCTTGACCACTGTTAGGGAATATTCTTAAATTGTTCAGTAATCTGTCCTGTAAGTAATTTTCTGTGAGTAATAACGAGAACTACAAGGCTCTGAAAGAAACATTAATCCAGTGAGAAGTGATAAATCGGATGATAGACCGGGCTACAAATGTATTTTTTAGATAGTTGGACATCTTATATAGCTAAATAATATACAATAATTAATTAGTATTATTGTATATGCGTATATCTAAGTTTTCTAAACAACTGCTGGTTTAGTGTGTGAGTAAAATACTTTTAACTACGCCATTCATATAACATCAACTCCATCACTATATGAGGCCTACTCTTAATCTTTTACAGTTTTTGTCAAAATTTATTAATGATATGCGGAATTCCCTAAAAGTGGTATAATACGGTAACAAGTGCGGAATCAAAAGAGTTATTGGATCAACAGTTAATATGTTAAACAACTTGTATAACGGAGTTAAACACAAGAGTTGGTTAATAATATCAACTATAAATAATATTTAAATTTCTTTACAAATATAGGATTACTGTGTGAGTAAATGACATACGAAAAAATACACATCAAATATTGTGACGATTTCTTAACACTAAGTCATATCACTGGGTATACCTTTAAATATTTATCTTCTTAACACTAAGTCATATCACTGGGTATACCTTTAAATATTTATCTTCTTAACACTAAGTCATATCACTGGGTATACCTTTAAATATTT